AGTGGGGTTAATGACTCAAGGGAACTAATTCCTTCACAATATGAGACGAGAGAGAGAAAGATTTGTGCACCTGAGTCTCCTGAGTAACACCTGTCAGTGATTGCATTGAATGGTCGATCCACAAAGTTGTCGGCTTGTGTCACTATGGCTTCCTTCACCATCTTGTACCCAGAGACAAACACCATCTTTTCACTACCGAGGCGGACACTGAACACATTCCCGTAGATGTCAGCCAGCTGTGGACAATGAATCAAGTAAAAAAACACTGATGAATGCCAACACACTACTGCACCAGGGGACCTTTTAAATTGTTCAAAAACAAGACCTACCATTACCCAATGAGCAGCCAATAGGTGTTCCAAGATCAGAACTTCACATTAATTATTGTTTTTTTTCAATTTGACCACCAGTATCTACTATTAGTTTCCCTATACAAAATAGTAAAGTTGAATCCGGGTGAACCATTAAAAATAATTTAAATCACTTTCTTTCTTTTTTTGTCACACAAAGTTATACTTCAGTGTTTCCCCTGGTTTACAGCTTGGGGGGGGCAGGGCGTGCAGCACTTGTCTGGACTTGGACGCGGAGCAGGAGAGCTACTCAGGCTGCTACTCGCAGGAGAGTGTGTAAATAAGATAAATAACATAAGGCTGTTTAGTTTGTTTAATAAAAGAACAAGGTATAGACCTGTTATATTGGAAAGGGAACCTTAAATGACTTCTGTTGTGATCTGGTGCTATATAGAAAACAAAATTAACTCCACCTTCAAGGGGGGGGGGGGGCGGAGGGTGCCGCCCCCTAATACAATGGTAGGGGAAACACTTATTGTTATTGTCCACATACTTCACTATTACGATAGAAATTGCACAATAGTGTTTGTGAAAGATCTTAAACTGACTGGAAATTCCATTGAGTTAATCAAACAAATAGTTCAAATCTATTAGAATGTCTCAATAAAATTCACCCTGAAATGAAAATATGCATTCAACTTACCTTTGAAAAATACTTGTATGGATGTTTCCTGTCCATGCTGAAAAAATTCCACACAAGGGGAAGAGAAAACGGTCCTGGAGGATAATTTGGAGGATTCCTGTTCTTGAGGAAGTCTGCTATTATGATGAAAACGAAAATAAAGAGGAATAGCACCTTGAAGTCAAAATCCAGCAAAAAATTAAAAATCCCCATTGTTGAAGAGAGTTGAACCAGCAACACGATGAAGGTCTGAGCTTCTGCCTCTTCATGAACCGCCCATCCTTATATAATGCCTATTCATGCTTGATTTAACCCTTAAATGGTCCATACATCTTGTAACTACTCGCATTACTCACATTACAGAACGGACGACTTAAAAAAAAATCTGTTAATCAAAGTCTGCACAAAAGGGTGTGTGACACTTTAGTTACTTAAACAGCTACATGAGCAACAACAATCTTATGAAGTGCAAAAATCTTTCAGTGACCTTAGACTGAGGTTGGCTGTTAGTGTAAACTGTGTCTGAGCCAACATACAAAGTAGAGTGGGAGCAAAAGGCATCTGATCCATTGTGCAGCTGCATGTCAATGAGTTACTAGGCAGGAACAGATCCAGACAAAATAGAACCAGATTTCCACAGTCAACACCTAGTGGTCTGTTTCTGTACTGCTATCAGGCAAAGCAGAGGAACAAACATTCAGCCACATACAGTCAGTAAGTTTTGGGTTTTCATACATATTGATTGGCTTTGTCAACATTATCAACACCAGACTTTCTCCTCTATTTTAAAGAACATATTGATAGCAAATATATTAATGAACTCTTTATACATTTTGTCATTAATTACAAGGACAGGGAAATGTCTCATAAACAGAGCCATGAACACAAGAATATTTTAATGAAAACATTATGCTATCACATACAACTAAATGTACAGACAGAGATAATGAAAGTATTCAGTACATTAGGCAATGATGCAACAGTGAAAGGTTGAGATTAACTACAGCTTTCTCTCCTAAAGCGTGTTGCTTTGTTCAGTTTATGTTTGTATTCACAATGTTTGGATAAAAAGTGACTCAGAACTCTTTGTTCACAAAGAAAGGAGGATGGACTTTTGTCTTTAAATAGTGAACAGAAGCTTTGATGAGTGAACTGCTTCTGTTTTTACATCTGCAGTATAGCGTTACTGCTGTGTTAATGTTTCTATCGTGTCGTTTTTATATGGTTAATATTGTTCCTCTGATGTGAATAATATTTGAATGGTGCCCTTGAGTGTTTGGCGGAATGCGTGTTTTAGCGCCGCAGTTTTGCTGGAATGTGCAGAGGCCTGTTGAATCATGTTATTCTACCCGCTTTGTTGTCATATAAATATATGTGACTGGTTCTTGTGAGTTTGTTCTTGTCATTGTGTTAATTACATATATTTTGACTCTATGCATTGTCCATTAATGACGCAGCATCCAGTCATGCTGCGTGCGTCATAGTGATAGACCTGCATCCTTTACAGTTTTGCGCGTATTCATGTATCTGCACTCTGCAGTTAGTGTATTTGTAGCCCTCATAGGTGTTGAGCTTCATGTAACATTTGATTTCACTTGTCAAATGTTGCAGTGTTTATATATGTATAGGCATATATATGCGTTTCTTACACGAAACAAATAATAACCCGTAGCTGTGGTGTCATAATGAGGTTATCAGGAGGTGGTTCAGCTGTAGTTGGACAGCACTGAAGGCCCAGGTATAAAAGACATGGCCCGCCACTGATACATGGCATAACTGATCAGTAGTGTGAAGAAAACTTAACAAATACAGCTTGATTGTTTAATGAACATAGCTCATGTATATGGAATCTTTATTCATTTTGCCATTAACAAGGAAAAAGGACAAAGGGAAATGTCTTATAAAAAGTGCCATTGTTATTTTTTGTAAATAATAACTTAATCAAATAGAATTAAATGTACAGGCAAAGAGAATAAAGGTCATCAGCGCAATGACACAACAGTAAAAGGTTGAGATAAACTAGATATTTCTCCACTAAAACGTTTTGCTTTGTCCAGTTTATTACACATTGTTTAGATGAAAAGTGATTCAGTGAGACGTTACATCAGCGAGCCTTGGCGTGAACCTTGAAGGGGTGTGGTACGCGTGTAATTCCAGTTACTCCTTCTGTACTCAACTCTACTCCATCAGGAACACAGAAAGAGAACTTCTGTAGTAAAGCGACCAAAAACAGGAACAGCTCCATCCTGGCCAGGTTTTCACCGAGACACACACGTTTCCCTGAAGAGTCCACAAACACATATGAAGGTGTCACAGCTCAGGATTAAGAATATATTCTGGTTCAGGTTATGCTTTAGACTGAGATGAATGTGGTTTACCTGCAGAGAAAGGCAGGAAAGCTTCTTTCTTCACAAACTTTCCCTCAGCATCCAGGAAGTGTCCAGGGTTGAAGGTGTCCGGAGTCTCCCATTCAGTCTTGTCAAACAGCACAGTGGTTAGGTTGGGCAACAAGGACGTACCCTAGAAAACAAGATCCATATGCTAACACTAAGTAATTCACTCACATTTTACAAATAATCGTGTTAAGACTTAAAGTAACTGTGTGCTAAATGCACCTTGGGTATGAAGTAACCACCCAGCATCGTATCCTTGGCGGCCATTCTGAGTGCATTCAGAGCAACAATGTTTCCAATCCTCTGGATCTCGTGGAGGACAGCATCAGTGTAGGGCAGGTTGGGTCTGTCTGCCATACTGGGCTGTCGGGTCCGTCCGATCACTCCGTCTATTTCTGCCTGCACTTTGTCTAGGAAAACAAGAACATGTAAGGAACAGGGTGAGCCATCAGCCTCAGCTGTACTTTGTGATCAGTGCTTGTTAACAAATATTAGCATGCTACATGCTAAACTAAGATTGTAAAACAGCATGTTAGCATGTCACTGTTAGAAATGCATTTAGATCAAAGCAGCCTCACAGAGCATGTGACCTACCCTTAATATCAGGGAGTTTTATGAGATAAACCAGAGCCCAAAGCAAAGTGGTGGAGGTTGTCTCCGTTCCAGCCATGAACAGATCCATAGAGTTCAGAGCCAGATTGGTCTCAGTGAAACCCAGATCAGACTCTTTGTGCTGTTCAGAAACACATATAAAATCCATTAGTGAGTGATTGATAGATTGACAGGAAGGGCAACACTTTGTCCTACACTGCAGTTGTTACTTACATTCTTAATTTCAATGATGAAAGCGTCAATGTAGTCCCGGGGATCGCTGTGGTCCAGGTCCTTCTTGTGGCTCTTTATCTCCTGACTGAGGAAGTCCTGGATGGCGTTGAAATGAGTGAACATTTTGTTGTGAGGACCTGGCAAGTGCTTCATCACTCCGGGGAATGACTGATACAGCTATTCAGAAGAAACAGTAGATGAGAGAAATTTCCAAACACGTCACCTTTCACCTCTCGTGATTAATTTAAACACAGACTTGGGTCTCTCGGTCTGTTAAGGAGGATTGACTCTCAATCAGCAGAATCTTGTCTCTCTGTCAATGATTGAACTAAATGGATATTACTGACTTACCAGACCGCATACAGAGCCCTGCAGTTGAAAAACTTCAGACAAATACTTCAGCATGGTCTGGAAGTTGTGGTCGCTGTAGTCGAACCGTTTCCCCATCACCAGCTGGCAAATGATGTTGGACGTAGCATTGTTGAAGAGGACTGCTGGGTTGAAAGGTTCACCTGGAGGAGAGGAGTCTATGGTTCAGACAATGCTATTCTACTGAAGAGCTGTTGATAATGACCTCATTGTTTACACCACCTTTCTCCTTCTCTATCTCCTCCTGCAGGTGTCTGATCTCCTCACAGATACTCTGCTCCATGGTGCTTTTGCCCACGCCGAAGTTACGTAAGGTAGACAAGGCAAAGTGTCGCTGTCTCTTCCATGTTTCACCGTTGCTCATGAACAGACCGCCTAGACACAAGCATGCAGAGGAAGTGGGGTTAATGACTCAAGGGAACTAATTCCTTCACAATATGAGAC